CAACTAGTCGGACAGAAAAGGTAATAATAAAGTTAGCAAATGCAAGTTGAAGAAATATTTATTTGGGAATAAAACGAAAGAAAACGTCACGCTCGATGGGGCCAATTTCGCTACTCGAGGACTATTACTAATAGTCCCCTAGTAGCGTAGCCAATCAAAACGCAGGATTTGCATTAGTCCACTAGTTGGGTGATACTAATAAACTATAGCTTATTTAGCAGCTCTTAATGCATAGCTTGATATGAAACAAGTCTTGCATTGCATTTGCATCCTGAAAAAGGAACTAAAAACTTCTGGGGGTGGTCAACCATGTCTTGGATGGGAGGGGGTCAAAATTTTATGACCTCAATGAGCAGATCTTCACAAGACAATTTTCATGGCAAAAATTCATAGAAATCTATTAAATATTCACAAAGTTATGACCATGTGTGCCCATTTGCACTCTTAGGGGGTAAAGGGTTAAAGCTACTGAAAGTGCAATCTATTTTTATCATCATAATCATTATCATTTTTCTCTAAAAGGGAAATGGGCAATGCGTTCTCGCTCGCCGAGCTTCTCGGTTCTTAGCACATGTACCAGCATCCAGCCATCCTTTGAATCCGAGGTCCTCCCTTTCCCTCTCTACAGTTTGTCTTTAAGTTTAGGATCGACTTCATAAGAACTGTATGCCTGTCAAAAAGGAATTTGCTATTTTAAGTGATAAGGGACACCTTTACGATTGAGAGTAATGGATTCGTTTGTTTTTGGTTAAGGGGAATTAGGTTGGGAGCTGTTTCACAAGAAGGAACATACATCTAAGCTGTATGAAGCACTCTTGACAGCTGGTGACGATCATGGTATTGGAGACTTTGGTTCGTATGCCTTAAATTCGTTGAGACTGGAGAAAGGATTTCGTTCGTGGGGCTTTGAGGTATTGTATAACCACAGTTTAATAAACGTGAAATCGTTTTTGCCCAACATTGTCTTGCCTGAACAGTGCCCAAGAAGTACAGGAACAATCCCTTTCCTGCTAGTTTCGAAATGTTTTACTGTATACATGTAACATGAGCTATATTTTCAAATTAGTTCTTAAGTTCTCTACTTGAGAGACTTACGCGACAATGGGAGTGAAATCAGAGGCCATTAGCATGTACCAAGCTATGACTATAGTAATTCTCTTTTTAGGCGTAGACTCAGTTTTGATGTATACTTTTCGTAAAGCTTGTGATGGAGAGAATTAGAACATAAATTTATTCAGAGGCTATTCATGAATACTTTGGCCACTTATGCCATACTTTACACAGTTTTATTGTATTTTTCTGCAGATGAATATGTCAACCAACGCTGTTGAGGCAGATTTGATGTCGTCGATAAAATTAAACAAGGTAAGAGGCGTTTCTCAAATTCATGGCGTGACTTGTGACACTGATGTAGTAACGCAACCCAAACAAACCTTTGCTCCTTATTCATTCAAACAGGGGGTCCATTTCATCGGACGAGACGCCTTGTTGAAACTGAGCAAGGATGATTGCGAACGTGTATTGTGTTTCCTAACGATGGATACAACAGATGTGGACCCTGAAGGGAACGAGACTGTTTGGTATGCTAATAAGGTACGTTTATTACACTATTATGACCGCGATAGGAATCATGTGATGATGAGTACTAGTGAAGTAAAAAAAGAGGTCGTTCCATGGCAGGGCGCGCGTTGTGTCTGCGGTACCCCACATTACATCTATAGTCTGTCCTAAGGGGAAAAGCTTTTGTATATCACGTATCGTAGTCGTAGTTCTGGTCACCCATTGACTCCCCAAAACAACAAATGGACACCACCTTTGAGGGAACACTCGGGGTGTGTTCCTTTGGGATGATCCAGATCAATCCAAGATCACTCACAATATGGTACATCAAAGGAACCGATCAATCCACTCTGGGCCGAGTTGTTCGAAAGCCGGCTAAAAGTATTAATGTTTCTTGTATAAAAATGTTTTTCGCTACCTTTGTTTTGTGTACTTTGAGTTTATTCAAACTCAAGACTGAAGGACAAATAACATAAACAGAATACCTCACCGAAAAATTAAAAAACTGAAATATAAATTCCCGCTAATCCTGGGTTAGTTGAATCGGGCCTTGAACGACCCGGCTCAGCCGGATAAGAATTCATCGGCTCCTCTGATAACTATGAATTGAGTGATTTTGGTTAAATGTTCTTGATCCTGATCATCACAAGGGAACGCGCCCTTAGTAAACTCCATTAAGGGAAAACTTCCCTAGAGAGGTCCCTAAGACATGGTTTTGGCGCAAAGAGAACACCCCAGAATAATCTCCCACTAAAGGGATCTAAAGGGTTCGGTTCTAACGCGTGGTTTAGTAAATCATGCAAGATACGTGTAGTTCCAGGTTGGAAACGGTACGAGTGCTTCATTATTTATTTCATTCCCGTCAGGTTGTAGGATTTACTTCAAGTGGTTCGTACAGCTATCAGCTAAAGAAGAGTATATGTTTCGCTTATTTGCCACCTTCCCTGACCGAACCGGGCTCTCGAGTGGAAGTGGAAATGTTAGGAAACAAATTTCCAGCAGTGGCCGTTCAGCAGCCATTGTTTGACCCAGAACCGATCCGCGCAAAGAGATGATAGAAGACAGAAGCATGTTCTCTCCGTTTGAGGAAACGTCTTCACTCTTTTATTACTCCTTTTAGTAGCTTTTATTTCAGTCTTGCTTCTGTCTTGCAATGTGAAATACGTGAAAACTTGCTGTTCTCTAATTACTTATCCTGGTCTTTCGAACACTCCGCCACCCACTCGAGTGTGGGATGTAGGGTTGGTTTGTTACAGTGCAATATCTGTGTCATTTTGTCAACGCTTCCTTTATTAACATGTCCCCACCAAATTCGAAAATAACTGCATTAGTATTGAGGTTTTGATGGGATATCAAAAAGAGAAATGAAATGACCAGAGTAGAAGGTTTAAAACGCTTTGCTTCGTATCCAAACCCCATGATACATGATACAAGTCCATACATGATAAAGTTTAACCTTCATTCCCGGAAGTTTTGATTCTGTTAATTGCTGGCAGTTTCAAGGAAAGGTTCCTCTACAGTATGCTTCACCTGTCTTTGGGTCGTGATAAGTATGTGGTGCAATAGTATGTAAAAAGACTACCAAGCGAAATGAAAAAATGGGAAAGAAACAAAACAAAGTGGTGAATTAACTTGCGGTAAATCAGCAACCGTCATAGGTGTATGTACATGTCGATATAAGAGGTGAGAAACTTTCTGGACTAACACTCCGAATGGTTGATTCTGAGTAAGACTTACCAGGGCAAAATCATACAGTGCATTTCAGTCCAGTTCGAAGGGAATATGTTTCAACATTAACTCTTGTATTTACGTAGTCAATGGTAAAGTGTATGCCTCTCTGTTTGCAGTCGTGAGCTGTAGTTCAATTTGCGTGTGGTGCTCTTCGTATGGGGCCAGGTAGCCGTCTCCTATAAATGGCTCGATACCCTTTGAGAGAACAACAGAACAAACAACAGAGACAATTCCCCTAGCCCTAAAACAATAACAGCTCAGTGCTACACTATAATAACAAAAAAATTACACTGAAGCTTACGAGAACTGGTACTTCCGTCGATATGGTTCATAATGCCCACTGTACGTGCTCTTGCCACATATGGCTCGCGACACTTCTAGGTTTGCTACGCGGGTGCGTGCTATCGCCTGGTTGTCTCTTTTAGCGCTGAACTTTTTTGAGAAAAGGGCAAGAGACGTCGGAGACCGGGACAAACTCTGGTAACTTGTAACTTTGGGCTTCGTTTAAGTGTAGTTTTTAAGAAACCAATCCATGTGGACCATTAAAAGTTAAAGCCAAAGCAACTTTTTATACACGGTTTGTGTTTGCGAGGCCGTGTATACGGAAACAAATATCATTCGGACATAACATAGATAAGACTGACAAGTTGGCTATTTACAAAGCACGGATCTCTAACCCGTGGCAGGAAGAGTCAGGACTTTGATCTACTAATTACATCTCCTCCTCTCACATTTATTTAAACAAAAATATTTTTTGAACGACAGCGACCGTCCCACGATAGATGGAAATGCTTGAACTTAAAATATAATGCAATTCAGCGGCGCTGTCTTGTGGTTTCTTAATACAGATACCCCTCCGGAAGGGGGGCGGGTAATATGTAAATCATTGGGTTAAGATTGTGCCGCTTGGGCACTGAAACCCTTACCTTACTAGACCATGATCAGCTTCATTTTGCAAGTCTATTCTAGACTACGCACCAAAAACCCCTACCTTATCCCAGACTAGCTATTTTCCATGCACTACTATCGTACTATCGTAATCCAACATAAGCCAAATAAACCAATATCTTACAAAGACACTTTCGAGTTTCAATTTCTATTATATTAGAACCGCAGGCAAAGAACCCTGTGCTAGACTAAATCATTTATACACAGGCCACTTTTCCGGTAAAATACACCCAATTCTAGGTCAAAACTGTTTGATTTCTATACCCTATCTCCGACTAAACTGCTTGAAAACCATACCCTTCACTACTTGCTCTTCTTTTCGTTAAATGTCCGCACCCTGTATTAATGGGTAACGCTTTCTTCTTAATGACAGATAATCCCGTTGAATGTCACTGTAGTCAGCAGTCTCCTCTCTGCGGTAGTAGGTTTCAATGAGAGGCGTCACCACGTAATAACCCATTCCTCGACCAATCACAACAGCCACAAAGAGCCACGTGTTGTACGTCATAGCAATTAACATCAGGAAATAGGCGAAAGAGAGTTCGGCCACAAACAGACACGTCTTTGCAATCTGTGTGATAAGATTTAGCCTGAAATAAAAAGTAAAAATTTCACAAAAACAATTATTGCAACTTATGTTGCAACTTCTGCGCAATGGGTCATGTGCCTGCACCGCCTCAACAGGCAGGGCTGATCATATTAAAATCATGTTTATTTTCTGGGGTGGTTATGTAATATTTTTATATAATAATCAATTAAATACCAGGTGAGCTTTCGCGCGAAGGTATGATATCTTCACACGTGAACAGACCACGATTGTTACATAATAAACACCGCGAATTTTCGTCTCTCAGGGGCACCCAACGACCGTTTTCTCTCTAATGCTGTTAGATGCTGTTTTAGGCCATCTGGAGTACTTTTAAAGCTCTGTAGGTTAATTTTAGGTTGCACTAAAAAATTTTTATCTGTTCGGATATTCTAGGGGANGTCTTATCGCCTTTCCGAAAATGATAGCTGACCTTTTTTCGGTACTCAAAACGACATTTTCAACAGTCCGAAAACAACAGACATTAAATTTCTCATATCCCGAAAGTTCGAGGTGCCAATTCTCTCAAGAAAATCAGAGGGGATTAAAGGCCTTCCGAACAGATAATTTACCGAAACGATCCGTTGGGTGCCCCTGGTCTCTCCGCGCGACCATGCAATATCCTCTATTTACTAACAAACGTATTTATTTTAACTCTCAGTAATTTCTATAATTGTAATTTAGACATACAGTTCACGAGAAGCAAAACCAACCAAAGAAAACCGAAATTTAAGTTAATACTAACCTTGCTAAGAAGGAAAAGGCACCGTATATTACTCAACAAAATTCAGTTTTGTTTTACCTTGTATGAGCTATTTGAACGTTTAAATTTTGGAATTGATTCAATTCCAAAGTTGACATTACATGACCATATCTTACTTCTTAACAATGATATTAAATGTCTTCTCAGATAATTCCCAATTCTTTTGTCGTGACTTGATGTGAATTCCTTTCACACACTCGTACAGCACTGCCAGAGCAAGCACGGCCACAAAGGACCCGCCAATGTCTGCAAACACGAAACACTGTTATATGTGGTGTGTTTTTAAAAAAGGTTGTTCAATAATCTAATTGTTTTGAAATACGTGTATAAACAAAAATTAGGTCACTCTTTGATGACATGACTAGTACAGTACGTGCACGTATGTATGCGTTAATTATTTATCAAGATCGGTGTGCGTAATTTCTTGCCGCAATTAATTTAGTAATTTCAATCATGTCTTTCTTTTTTGCTGTGTGACGCACATAAATCCAAATTCTAGGCGGACGAAAACGCTACTGGAACTGTTTAAGTGGAACCAAACACATATAACATGGTACAATACTGATTCAGATCTTGTCAGAACCTATTATAGGCTTATAAAGATAACAAAGCGACAACTTACCTCTTATTGAGGTCACCTTCCATTCTCGAAATATCACGAATGTATGGTTAGGAATAGAGAAATGCATCTGCATAAGGATGAAGAGAAGAACCACTTTCAGCTAATTTCACTCAGCAAACATAACTAACGTCTCTAGCAAGTCAGTAAATAGCTTTGATTTCGATGACGACGATGGGGTTTTCGAACTGAGCTGTCAAGCTGTGAGCAATGTCATGAAATCCTATACACGCAGTTGACAGATAAACCGAAAAAAAGGAAGTGTCGAGACGTGGGTCTGTTATTTGACTTATAGGCCTTTTTTATCCTTTCCTTTGTTCTCATAAGGTTACAACTGATTTCGTATTTATAAACCCATCAACCCATCGAGATATAAACCAGTTTGCATCCAGACAAATCAGCTGCTTGATGACCGTAAACACCATGAGGAGAACTGAGATATTGATTACTACTTAAGCTCAAGAATGGTTGGCTCCAGAGGAGTCAAAGGCCTCAAATGCCAGCCGGTCTGAATTGTCTCGGTCATCGAGTGCTCTAGAGTACAATTTCCTTATATTTTTTAAAGCTTGAAAAGTTCCGTGTGAAAATATTGAATTTAACATTAAAAATATTGGAACTTACCGGATATCGGAATAGGGAACTTTTTTCTAGAGATGACAGCTCAATATTCACTGTTAATCAAGCCTAACATTTGTTTGGCATGACGGAAAGAAATATTTCTTATTAGTTTTGTATGTGCATTTCCTTAGCTGCAAAATCAGCCAATCCCTACTTCCAAGAAGGAGCTATGTATCTCGACTACCGATTATTTTTACGTTATGTTAAAACTACAATGCAACCCCGCCTTACGGCCAACCCCGTTAATACGGCCACCTCGTTATTACGGCCATTTTATTCTGGCCCGAAGAAAAGCTCAGTCAGTCATTATCTTATATAAAGAACCCCTTTAGCACGGCCACCAATTAAATACAGTCAGAGTTTTGACAGTGGCCCGTTGGTAACCGGATTAACGGGGTTCTATTGAAGTTTCTTCAAGCTTTGTGTCCTTACCTTTTGCATTCCTGAACGGGAAGAGTATTCTCGCTTATTTAAATATAAATCTGCCAAAACTATTCCTATCCTCTACGTTTCTAGCTCGTAAGTGCCGCAATTGTTTTGCAAATTTTCACTGAATTTGGTCAATCGTCGATGTTCGTACCGTTTCGATATTCCGTGGAACCGCGCCAATATGATGACACTTTTTCGTGACCCTATGCGATATACTAGCGCAGTTGGTTATCAGTTATCATTCACTCTATTGCTGCCGTTATTGACTTGTCATCGTCAATTAACCCGTGTTTTACCGATTTCATCTGATTTAATCACGAAGCGGAGATTGGACGGGGGTAGAGAATGCGTATAAACGGATCGATGTTGGCCCTCCGCAATTACGATCAATCTTCAAACTGAGCCCAGTATTGAAAGAGAGGTATGGAAAGGACGGAGAAAATTGTTGCCCACCATATCCGTAATAATATGTCCTGCAAGACAGAGATGACAAGGCCACTCGCCTAAATGTTTTACTGAATCATTTCCTGGCCTCTATAAATCTCACGATTCACTTGGTCTAAAATTTACGTTAATGTTTGTCATATACTTCGCGAGCGCTGACATATATCTGACACATTTCACTTCCTACTGTCAGAATCTCTTAATAATGATATTTAATCACGCATTTTCACGATGGCTAATGAATTTTATATAGAGTGTTTATCTATTTCCGTCATGTAGCGCTTAATTTAATGATGAGTTTATATGCCCTGGTATATATAGGTATTTATTTCAGAGTTTCAATGCATGTGTTTTAACAACTTTTATTTCAATAACGCAAGCTGGGGTAAACCTCTATTTTGTGGCATTTGGCCAGTGACTTGAACTTTAAAATCAACGTTCCTGTAGCTTTCTCCTCTGTTACAAACTTTCTCTTTCGTACATCTCCGGGAACCAATGCTTCCCAAGGTGTGACGGACTATTATAACAGTCACTTACAGCTACTAAAATAGCACTGATTTGTTCCGAAGTTGTAAAACAGTTTGGCCTACGCTACCTGAAATTAACGATAGCCTTAGCTGCACTGAATCACCCGAAATCTGCTACCTTGAGCTCGAAAAGTCCAAAGTAAACACCTCTCCATTTTGCGGGGATTTTATGATAACTCAAATCAGTCTAAGTATAACAGCTGAGGCTTTTATTTATCAATGTAGAAAAATAGATCCCTTCATTATGGCAGATTAATAAAGGAACCCATTCGACGCTTTATTTTGACCTGACTCTTTCTGTTTCTGTTCTATTCGTTAAAAAAGCATAGATAGAGCAGCTTCAAAGAGACTCCAGTTGTTTACCATTTACCCGAAAATTTCGGTCAGAATGTAAATGGAAGGCAATTTTGCCTGACCTACCGGAACATTTCCGAAGTAAACGGAACAGTATTGAGAGGTATAGTCCAAACTTTCCAACCAAAATATCCGAATGGAAAGTGTGCTTACCATGCATTTGCAATTTTTCACCTCCTGGGATCATGATCAGGTCGAACTCATCCTAGGCTCTGTCGGTAAATCGTGGTTGTTAAGGAAGTGGTAAATGGCCAATCCTGGCGGAACTCACCACCAGGTATTTTTGCTTGCCATTTGCACAAACCTTTGACGAAACGGTTTTTCCGCTTAAATGGTAAACAACCTAAGTTCTTACGTGTGCTTGCTTTAGTGTTTGTTTGTTTTCTTTTTCAATCAATCAGGTGTAAATTCCAAAAACCGGCGAGTTTAGCATACGCGTGTTTTCCCGCGCTTTAGCACGGATTGCATGTTTCTGCTTCGAGTTCTGATTGGTTCGATTCTCTATACTGATGTATTTGTGGTGGTAACTGTTCACACTTGAGGTTTTGGGTAGGCTACAGGGAAACTGCTCTATGGCAAATAAACTAAGTGTAAGGTCCCGTCCACATTACGACGGAAGAATTTCACTCTGAACACGCATCAAATGTCTTAAATCCACACCAAACCGGAGGAATTTAAAAACGCAACAATCACCGGTCGTTTTGTATTTGTGTTTGAGGAAAACTCGGTCGGAGAAATCACATGATTATCGTGACGCCGCCGTTTTTTGAAAAACTCCGTTTTCTTGACAGATTAGTGTGGACGCTAGGCCTCTTCCGTAGCTGCGTTCTCAAATGTCTCCGGCGTAGTGTGGACGCTGCCTAAGATGATACTGTGATATATTTGTACAAAAAAGCAAAACAAAGCATATTCTACAACACTACACCACTCAGAAAATGCTATGTGTCACGCCACGCAGCCTTATCCCCCACACCCCATGTGTAGGAAAAGGTTTTTTTTTTTTTTTTAAGTAGAGGCCTTCATGTTGAAGTTCTGCTCTCCCGACCCGTTCACGTCATCATCCTTAGCAAAACCATCGTTGTCTCTCTCTTCTTTCACGTACTTGCTGAATTGCTCCATGGCGTAAACCCTATTGCGGTCTGCCAAAGCACCCTTGAAACGCTTCTTTACCTGGACTACTGCAACAGCCAGGGCGATGGCAAGAAGGAGCAAGACTCCACCGGCTGCTCCCACTCCTTTGACAAGACCCATGTTTGTTTCGACAGCAGCTGAAAGGTAACACATTTTTTAAGCTGATCAAGCCTTGAAGGCATTAAAAAAAATTAAAATCAATCGTTCTTTTAGGTCCCGAAAAGTGGTGCAGCAGTTATTTTTTCCCGACCTTTCACCGGGGATCGTCCTTGCATATCAGATACAAATTGTGGTACTTACCGTTTTTGTCCCCTTTTCCTGGGTTTATCTTTTGAAATTTGATTGGTCCCGAAGACATCTCGTATACGTGAGTGCTCTCGGATCCAGGGTCCTCATCCCTACGTCCACGACTGCGGGAGCATCCCTGGAGGCAGCGTGAACGCGCAGTGTTACGGTGGCACGCTAGGACTTCACAGTGGAAGTGAACCACGGGATGATTCTGGATAAAACGAAAGGCTTGAATGCTAAAGCGCTGCTTAGAATTGATGGAATACGAGTAATTCAAGGTGGAATCCAATCCACATCTGCAAAGGAATCAAGAAAATGAATGTGAAACAGATATTAGTATAGATCAGTAGAAGAGAGAGGTTATTCCACCTTTACACGGACAAAAGTTGCGGTGATGGCTTTCTAAAATTTACATTACGCGAAACTAGAACCTTTGTGGTAACTTTCATGTCTATGTCAGAGATAACTGGTTTGACAATATAAATTCCAGCTTCATGTATTGTATCACATGTCTATCTCTAATAAGAAATTAATTGGAGCATAAGTCCATCGGGTGCTGCCACAATATTTTACGTTGGTGGCATGACCTTGGTTATTAGGTATCTCAGCTGTGATCTGCCCGACTTCGACACGTAAGAGGTTCCGCTGTCAAAAAAAGTCCTCGTATTTTACAACCTAACAGCTGAAGAAATATGTCAAGCTTTTTGTTAGTTGAGGGGAGAATGNAGGGTAGCAAAATTCAGCTGAACTAGCTCTGGTATAGGCTAAGGGTTCCAGGCTCCCAGCGGCACATCCCCACCCAGAAATTCCCAAAGTACCCCCCCGGGGTTTTACTGTTAAAACATAAAGCATGATTCTGAAATCAAATGCTGCCACTTTTACGGCGAATCCGAAAAAGCTAAGTTTCATCATGTGCACCGCGGTCAAGGAGAATCAAAACGAAGCTCCACGTGAAATTATTGAATGATGGCAATTCCATCATTGGGCAATTTTAAATAACCAATCTTTGCAATGTTCCGCAGGGGAGGTTTGTTTGGTTCGCCTCTGGAGAGCTTCAATACTACTTCCAACTGCCGGAGCATTAGGAAGAAAGAGAAAACATTTTATTGTTTAAGTTACCTTCAGAAGAAGAAACAAAATTCTTCCATGTTTTGAAGCTTGGATTTCGTACCATTGCCTTTCGTCCAAAACTGCAATAGAACGGAATTGACACGTTTTGCTCCCGGGTAATGATGTTCCCAGGAGAAAACTGGACGCTTCGCACTTCGTTGTGGAACGTGATTGCGTCCTCGCTTTCGTTATGCGTGGTTCCACAGTCGTTCAGGCTCGTCCGTAAGGTAATGTGGGTATCATTGTAAGATGCTCTGCACGACGGGTAACGGAGGGTCAGTTTATTGGGATCAAATCCTTTGAAAGATTTCCTCTCCAGGAAGATGGACATGGCTTCATCCATACACTTAACATTGATTCCAGGTTCTGCGGAGGTAAGAAGCAATATGCTCTAGTTTTATCAAGGCAGACAAGATTACATCATCGCTATATGCAGTAGTTTAAAAATCTATTGTTTTTTACTTAAACTTTTGCAGGTTTCAAGAAAGTATTGTTTAAGTCAGGCACGTCTGTTTTACACCAAATCAATCTTGTAACATCCTAGCTGGTACAATGGAAAACGGGCCACAAAAATCTGTCCGTATTAAAGGGGATCTTAAAATAAGAAAATGACTGATTGTAAGGCGGGCCCGTAAGGCGGGGTTCCACTGTACAATGAAAAATGTTGAATAGAGTCATCAGATCGAAACAGGTCGAAAAGTGAACTACCAGTTTTGCTAAGGCTTAATAACAAAAAGGTGGAATTCTCAAACCTTTTGACATGAACTGGAGCATTCTTTGCAATTAACTGCTAACTGTATGTTACCATCGCCAGAACCAAACGAAAATAGTAATAATGCACGAACTTGCCCCAGTGTATTTACAGCAACTTACCATGGCAGGTTTTGTTGTCAATACTCATCGTTGTACCTTCGCGACATTTGCAATAGTGAGACCCAGGAATGTTGATACATTGGTGGGTGCAACCGCCATTTTGGGTTTCGCATTCGTTGATATCTGGTAATAACAAGAGACATAAAAGACTTTTGCAACCTTTCGTTATTTATGAAATATCGTTCAATACAGAAGTGAGATGAAGTCAGCATAAAGCATAACGAAACTTAGGGATAGCAGCGGAGAAATTGAAAAGGTAGTTTTTCTCAAAATCAAATATCTGTTGTTACATTTATAGTGGCCATTCGGTTGGAGAGGTACAAGTGGCTAGATGTCCCCTCTATCAGCAAGATTAAGATTTCTGTACCCACCTCTTCACCTATTTTAAGCAAGAGAAGGCTCGTTTTCAGCTCTGTGTTCACCCTTTTAAAGCAGAAATGTATCCGTAGCTAAAGAAATTGTCATTGCCCAAATGATGTAAATGAACTTCTTCATAGATACCGAACCTTTAGCATGTACTAAGTTCCTCATGCTTAATCCGCTTCATATCTTTCTCATTATGTATGCCCTTGTTATTTCTAGCACTTCTTTAATGCTTTTGTTCCTTTTCTCTCTCTCTCTCTCTCTCTCTCTCTCTTTTTGGCAAGAACACATTTAACTCGGTATCTACTTCTCCCCTTCGACCTAAACTTAATTTGCACATTCCATCCAAAAAACATGTAATAACTCGGACGTGCAGGTATTGATTTCTACCTTTTTTTTTCAAGGAAAAAAAATCGCATCTATATAAATGCCTTTCCTCTTCGTTTATTCGCATGAAAAATGCGCCAATTATCTTTGTTGTACAGGTTTATTTCATACGCTGTTAGCATCATTCACTTACCCACACACGTCGTCCCGTCCGCCTGTAACTTATAACCCTGTCGACAAGTGCAGTAATAACTGCCCCATGTGTTAACACAGTTGTGCTGACAGTTAGCAGGAAGGTGCAACACAAATGGCACCCGAGAAGCGGTAGGAATTACCATAGCAGTTGATGCCTGGATGGCCACCGAGCCTGTAAATAGAAATGGTAGGGAAACCAACGAGATTTAAGCCAATGACCTCCGCATTACCGGTGCAATTCTATACTAACTGAGCACACGTCGAAGACGAAGGTAGTTGGGATTTTAGGCATATGTTCCCATGAAAGTAATAGAACAGTAAATGCATTGTGTATGTGAACTGGTGATAAATAGGTCGGTTGACGACCGTTGAGAAACAAAAAAAGTGATTACTGTTAAGGCGGGATCGCCAGTGTATTATGCGCATCACACTAACTTTTATTCATTGTAACTTGTTGTATTCATTGTATCCATTTTACTTTTTTGAGGTAGACCCCTCCTTATTAGATCATTAATGAACAAAAAGTGTTCTGGTAATACTCACTCGTAGGGTAAGGTTTCAATAAGTAAGGAGAGGAATACTTTGCTGACGAGAATGCTTGGATCGGAGGAGTTGTAATAGATGACTTCCGAGAGAGGTTTTCTGAAAACAATGCAGTAAGTCGTACAGATTCAGGAGTCCAGGACATACGAATGAGCTACGAAATTAAACTGGCATAATAGTTAACTGTAATTTTACTATAGAGCGTTGTATTAAATTGCGGACTTAAACACTAACTTGTTGTGGGTGACGATGTTAATAAGTTACGACCCCGGGGGTACTCCCAGAAAAGTTGGGTGGGGGTGTGCGGCCCACTTCTCAAAACCCTTACCCTATTTATGACCAAAATCTGCGATTTCCCTACCCTATTTTTGACCTGGCCAAAAATTCGATACCCTATTTATGACCGTTACGGCTGGCGCAGTTGCCCTAAACTTAAGTTATGAAGGGCTTTTGTCGACGTTCTTATTTGTAATGATGAAAAAGTAGCTTCTTCTAAGAAACATACCCAATTCAAGACTAGAGTGCTAAAACGATACCCTATTTAGAACCAAAATGGCCAAAATCGATACCCTGTTTATGACCAAACCGACTGAAAAACCCTACCTTTTGGGGCCGCACATACCTATATACCCCATATAAGGGAGTACCCCCTCCCCCGGGGCTCACGACTGAGAGCAATACTTTCCTGGCACTGCTTTTCTGAAAACTGCTAACAATAAAAAGAGAATTAGAAAACTAAAATAAAGCCAAATAATAGATCTACTCGATGCGAAGAGCATTGTGAACTCGGTTATAGTTGGTTTTCACATGACGTCACTAAAAAATTCAAACTACAAAACTATTGATCTTCCTGAGATTTTACTTTAATGATGTATAAGAGCAGCTGAAAANCAAGCCACCGTGTAAGTTTCTTTTTATTACATTTCTTATATAGACAAACTGGCTGTTTGCACAAAAAACCATGAAAAAGCGGAAATGATGCCATCAATATCCTCACAAGTGAGGATAAGGAAAATTAGCTAGTCGGGTCGCGGTTGTAAGTTTCGTATGAACCTTACCAGAACTGTATTTTCCAGTAAAACACCCGTTTCTATTAAAGTATATGTATAACTCCGATTCCAGTCAACTTACTTTTAATCCAGACATATACAGGGTAGGCCCTGTCGTTTGAGTTGGTATACGGTGTTATCTTGGACGTGTCTGTGCATTCGTAGCAATAGCGGCCTCCTCTTTCCCAGAACTCAATGGCGTTGCATCCGGGCCTAGCCTCACAATACCTTTGGCATTGTATGATACTTATGCCCCTGGAAATTAAAGACCTTCCAGCGGAGGTGCACCAACTAATAGTTTGCGAATATTTCGTCCATCCTGAAATAAGACAGCTGTAATTAGATCATTAGACATCTCAACCTTTTAAATAAACCTTTTGTTTATTTTTGTTTTGTTTTGTTCTACTCTCGTGTGTAAGAGATAGGAAAAAGTATTTGAAGTCAGAATAAATCTAACGTTTTTGAGCGAATGCAACAGGTATTTTGATTTGGACATGTTAAATACCAGGACTGCAATGACTGTACATGGTTGACTGATCCCTCTACACAGGCTTACTTTTTCAGTTATAATTGAGCAAGTTGCTAGTTTCTTAGGACGTACCGACAAAATTGAAACTTCATGTATATCAGTATTAGAAGGAGGAAGTAACGTCCCTTTATAAGATGTAAAGAAAAAGATGTATTTAAGATTTTCATCTTCAAAGTTNCGGGAAATGATGCCATCAATATCCTCACAAGTGAGGATAAGGAAAATTTGCTAGTCGGGTCGCGGTTGAAGTTTCGTATGAACCTTATCAGAACTGTATTTTCCAGTAAAACAGTCGTTTCTATTGAAGTATATGTATAACTCCGATTTCAGTCAACTTACTTTTAATCCAAACATATACAGGGTAGCCCCAGCCGTTTGGGTTGGTATACGGTGTTATCTTAGACGTGTCTGTGCATTCGTAGCAATAGCGGCCTCCTCTTTCCCAGAACTCAATGGCGTTGCATCCGGGCCTAGCCTCACAATACATTTGGCATTGTATGATACTTATGCCCGTGGCAATTATGGATCTTCCAGCGAAGGTGCACCAACTAGTAGTTTGCGAATATTTCGTCCATCCTGAAATAACTGACAGCGGTAATTAGATCATTAGACATCTCAACCTTTTAAATAAATCTTTTATTGTTTATGTTTTGTTTTGTTCTACTCTCATGTGTAAGAGATAGGAAAAAGTATTTGATGTCAGAGTAAATCTAACTTTTTTTAAGTGAACGTAGCAGGTATTTTGATTTGAACATGTTGAATACCAGGACTACAATGACTGTACACTCTTGACTGATCTCTCTACCCAGGCTTACTTTTTTCAGTTATAATTGAGCAACTTGCTCCGCGTTTCTTAGGACCGACAAATTTGAAACTACATGTATATCAGTCGATTAGAAAGAAGAGGTAACGTCCCTTTATAAGATGTAAAGAAAAAGTTGTATTTAAGATTTTCATCTTCAAAGTTTTGATGACTGAAACAAACATATGTTTCAATGAATTTGCTGACCTGATTATTTTATCATTTATTTTAATTTTGTATGCTTGTTTCGTGTCTCTGTTTCAGCTGAATTTGTCGTGAAAAAACTGTAAGTAAATAAGGCAACTGATTCTTACCGGAGACTGACGCCTCTGCAATTGATGCTGCGGAAGAAGCTAATTGATAGAATAAGGTAAAAATAAATGTTATTACTGCTATATTCTATATTCTATATTCCATATTCCATATTCCATAATCCATATTCTATATCCTATAATCTATAATCTCTATTCCGTATTCCGTATTCCGTATTCCGTATTCCGTATTCCGTATTCCGTATTCCGTATTCCGTATTCCGTATTCCGTATTCCGTATTCCGTATTCCGTATTCCGTATTCCGTATTCTATATATTCTATATATATGTATATTTTATTTTCTGAAAACTGCTAACAATAACAAGAGAATCTCTGGGAAAACTAAAATAAAGCAAAATAATAGATCTACTTGTAATGCGAAGAGCATTGTGAACTCGATTATAAAATTCAGTAATGCATTCAAACAGAAGCATATCACGTAGGTGATATGCCTCTGATTGAAAATATAATGCTTTTTGTTTTCAAAACAATCTATTACATTTATGTTGAGAGCTGTCAACATGATGCATTTCATTCCCTTTTGTTCGCTTCCTTTACTACTAGATTACAGTCTCTTAGTACAATGCATGCGCCACTGGAACATCTTGCAGCATTTCGTGAGCAGCAATGTGAGTTGCTCACAATGGATATCATTACGGGACTTGAAAAGCGAGGCATTCTTTTTGCGTTATTGCACCCCGACTCTATTAACATGTCTGGTCGGTATTATGTTACAAAACAGTTTCAGGGCAAAATAGTTCCGTGATGTTTGATTTTGAATGATTATCATTATTCTGATTCTAGTATTGTTTTTTAATTCTTGTTTCTCTTTTCTGTTCTGTAGAACCTTGGATGTGCGATTGATTCTACTTAACTGGTGAAACAATATTAGTGTTTATCGGGCCGGACGAGACAACGCCGAATAAATGATGTGTAATAGCAATTGGACTGGGTAGAGTACAATTCAATTAGTAATAGATTGCATTATACCATAATCCGTCCACGGATTTCATAATACTCTGGAGCGAAAAATTTCAACTTTTTGAAAACACTCACCTGTGGGTGAAGAAGTTAACAAGTTAGGAGGGGAATATATTGTTGCTGTGCTTTGGATAGCAAGTGATAAAGGTGGCAGTGGAGTGAAGCCATCTAAAAACAATAACAAAAACAAACACACAAAAAAAAAAAACGTGAAAAAAGAAAAACAAGAGAGATTTGAAAACAAATATAAAATTCATAATCGAAAGGAAGCCATTTAATAACAATTTAAATAGGCCTTGCTGCTAGAGGATATTACACGGCGGCGTGACGATAGGAATTTTATTTTCGAGTGGTAAAAACAATATTGTTTTTAAAATGCGACAAAATGAAATTTATATCTTCAAGCCACCGTGTAAGT